TTGAATAATATTTTAGCAAATTAATTTTCAAAAAAATCATTTCGAATCATACGCATTATATTTTTGACGAAAACAATAAATATTTTCATACTTAATTAATTAATCATTATTATAATTGTCATAATGTATTAAACAAAGCAGTGTGATTCAAAGCTTGAATATTTGTTTTATACAGCGAAAGTTATTTTACATTCAATTTTAATAAATAGACAAAAAATTATATTTTCATAGAGATTGTTTTCTTAGTCTTAGAGCACTGATTAATGTCTTTCAAAAGGTAATAGTATACTGCTCAGGCATCGAAACGTGTCTTATTAGTTTCTTTCGTAGTCATGGAAATTTAACCTTAGTAATAAATAATACAATAATTGAAAACATATTTCTTTTATTTAAAAATAAAAAAAATATTTCTTTTTACGCAAACAATAAATCTTCGCATTCTAAATTAATTAATGATAATTACTATAATGCCTTTATTAATCATTGTTAATGCACTTATTCTACAAAACTAAAAATATTTTGTAATAATATTTATGTGAAAGTGTTACTTTTCTTAAACTTGCGGAATGCTGTAAAATGATGTTCAGACATTTAAACATATCTTAGCTTATAATTACACCGAGAAAATGCATTGGTCAAAAATACCAGAATATGGTAAAATTTACCGTGTTTCTGGCTCTAATGAAACGCCAAAAAGCTCTGTAATTGTTACTGAAGCGCTTTGGAATTGATTTTTTTAAAAATTAACAATAAAATATGATTTTATAAGAGATAAAAATTCTGTAAATGTTTCAATATTTCATGATTTTATCAAGATAACAGCAGGGCATAAAAACAACTTATTTGGTTAAATTTGCTTTTCAGTTTTATATTCTCTTACTAAATGTGGGGTAATAAGAACAATAATTTTTAAAAACCAGAATTTCTGGAATACCGTTACAATATGAACGAAAAATTTCCCAAATGAATGGTTTAAATACCGTATATTTTGGATTTATTAACCAGAATTATGGCTTCTTTTTTAACCAGAAAGAACATTACCATACAATACGGTAATTTTTCAGGATTGTTTTTTGCTCCGTGTAAAAATAATTCAATGTTAACGCTTTTTTTTATATTTTGTTTTTCATTCTTGGAAAAAAAAACATTATTGCGATCTACATTAATACTCGCGAAAAAAATAATCCTTAATACGTTTCTAATTGCACGACAAAAACGTTGCCGTAAATTTCAATAAACAATTATTTTTACTATCATTACTTGCTTAAAAATCCTACATCATTCCTAACTTATATTCATTTATTAAAATTTTTAATATGACTAAAATCTTCCAAACCAATCAATATCTATCTTGAATTGTTTAGAGATAAAACATTTTTTGATATGGCATGTTTAACTTTCTTTACAACTATTTTTTTGAAGGAACTTAAGTTTAATTTTTTTAATCAATAGCAAATATAATTAGTAAAGTATATTTGCTCAAGCAAAATTGAATATTGATTGCAAATAAATGCACTTAACCTTAATTATCAAGCATCGATTGTTTAATGCTTAAGATTTTGACGAAGTATTTTTTTAAAAAAATGTTATCTTTCTATTTCTTAAGTTTATGCACAAAATGAACACAATATGCTTTGTTTACCATTCATAGTTATATGAAATTTTTTAACTAATTGTGGACAGCCATTGTCTTTCATGATAAATTGTTCATGCGTGAATAGAATGAATCAATAGCCTTATTTTCTTAATTGCTTATATTAATAAGCATTTTCTCGTAGAATAGAAAAACCAAACGATATTAGAGATCATTTTTAAATCATATTTCAGCAGCTCTATCAGCAGCTAGCAGTGGACTACTAGCAGGCAATAGCGTGTTTATGTAAGCGTACAATCAGTAAATAATAATGTGCTACTTGCCTCAAATTTATGTTTGTTTTTAAGCTTATAATAAACGTCATGACTCTGAACTCTTATTTCAGCAACGTATTATCTGCAGATAGCAATATATCTATGGCATTGGATAATTGGCAGAAAATAATGTGTTTATGCTAGCGTACTATCAGCAGCTACTTGCTTCGAATTTATAAATGTTTTAAAAGCATGTAATGAAATAAATGTCATGACTCTTATATTTCAACAGGGTACCATCTGCAGATAGAAATTTATTTATAGCAGAGTTTATCATCGCGTTTAAACGCATTTATACAAGCCTACTATCAGCATATAACAATGTGCTATAGCCGAAATAGCGAAAATATTTCCAATTTAGTACGTATGATGTAAAAACTTATAAAGAGACAAACGTCGGTTATAAAAAATACACGTACGTAACAAGGAAAAGCAATACTTCTTACAAAATTACGAAACAGTGAAAAACATTATTTTATGAAAAGTTACAGATAAAGTAGAAACAGCATTTGATAGAAAGTTGCGGATAGTAACAGTAAAAACAATTTCACATAAAAAGCTATTTGCTATTTTGTTACTGATTAAAAAAAACGTTACGGATTAAGTTTCTGATTAGAAAAGAACGAAATAAAATGTAAATAATTCATTATGGTGAATGAAGTTATAGAAATGCAAGCATGTTCTCTAAAAATAACTGAAATTAAAACAGAAAATAACATTATCAGTGAATTTTCAACTATATTGGTTTTTGCAAAACTATTAGGAGCAAGCATTGCAAACAATATTGGAAGTCCAAAGTGTTTGCAAGTTAATTCACTTTCAAAAATACTGAATATCTTTTGGAACTTAGTGTCAGGTTATTTGATACTAGTCATTTTGTACACTAGTTACTTTTTTGACAGTGCTGCAATTTTGCTGCATTGCGTAGACTTAACATGCATAATCATTCTTCGTTTCATAACCAATCACAAGTTTAGTGGGTTATTCAAAGCTGTCAACAATATCGCCAAACTCAGACACGAGATTGGAGGTTCAATTCAATACAAGAATTTCAAATGGCATTTCTTTATTTTCTACGTAATAATATTCTTCAACTACTTACTTTGGGTGTGCCGACAATACATGGAAGATCTACAAGAGTATTATTACAGATATTCTTTTGGTACTTTAAGGCACAAATCTGCTTACAAATATAAATCTCTCTTAAAAATTATTGGTAATTCTGTGTTGACTTTAGTTTATGTTTTATTTTGTGCACTACCAGCTATGTCAGTAACAACGGTTTATGTCCCGCTCATTGAGAGTTATCGTTTGGTAAACACTTATAACAAGATGCTTAGACAAATGATTCAAAATAAGCTTTCCCTACTTGCGTTGTCAGAAATTAATTCTAACTTATCAAAAATTACACTTGCCATCCAGAAAGCAAATGCTGTCATGTCACCAATTATATTTATTCTTTTTGGCTTCTGGGTCGTTAATATATGCTATTCACTCAGTATACTACTCGGTGCACATCAGAAAACCAAACTATCTTTTATTACCTATACAATTTCGATCATAACTCTTTTTGGTCAATTTAGTATTCTTATTTTTGCTGCTGATAAAGTGAATCGAGAAATACATGAAACTAAAGTAATTATTGTGCGAGAAGCTGGTGTAGATGATGATGTCTTCTATGATGATTCCAAAGCAAATAATTTGATGTATATGGCTACTGTTGTGGACACTTGCAAAGAGCAAATTTATATCACTCCCATGGGAATGTTTCGGTTGGAAATGAAATTAGTTTTAGTCATATTAGGAATAATTCTGAGCTATGAAGTGATAATATTGCAGTTCAAATAAACAAAACAGTTCATCAGCACTTTCCTAGGAAAGGAGAGTTTAATCTGGAAATTCAATTAGTTCTTTTTTTTTAACTTTAAAATGTATTGTTTTTTTTTCAGACCATATTGGTAATTTTTAGAATGATTTCAGAACATATCAGGCATAAATTTATTATATTTAGCATAATTTTGAAATTAATCAGTAATCATTATATTTTATAGCATTTTCATTGAGAACACTCTGTAAAAAAGCTTTTTTTTTAAATTTAGAAAAAATTAGCCAAAAGTCGAATTTGAAAACGCTACGAACTCATTATTGAGTATAGTGACATGCTCAAAACAGCGTACACTCATTTTTGTGTAAAATGCGTTGTCATAAAAAATGACATATTATGTACTCATTTTTAGTAATTTGTTGTTTAAACGAGAGTGGTGATAGTCTCATAATTGAGTAAGTGCTCTTTTGAGCATGTTGCTATACTCGATAATGAGTACGTAGGGTTTTCAAATTCGACTACATTTGTTTCAAAGCTATTTTTTTACATTTTTGCTCAGTTTTAAGAAACCTTTTTTTACAAAGTAACAAAACTGTTTAGTTGTTTGGAAATTTTATAATAAATTAGGGGCTGGCCACGAGCCTCTACTCGGCACGCACGCATAACCCCGAAACTATTTTTGTCATTCCTTTCTAATCATTAATCTCACTCAGTGGACACTGAAGCTTTATCTAAATGCTATATATGTTTCAGACTTTTAATAATTTGTATGAATATTTATTTATTAGTATTATTTAAAAGTAATTTCTTGGTGCAACAGGAAAATTCATAATTTACTAAGAAAGAATATCTTCTTAGTAATCGTGATGCATTAATAATTACCGGAATTATTCCTTGGTGTATTCTTACCTGGCAGCATGTTACCTACCTTTACATCTATAGTTTGTAAAGAGAGATTTTGGGAGCGCTGATTGGATTTGGTATATACTTTTATTTTTTTGTAACGTGCTATTCGCTAGGAACGTGAAAAGAATTAAGATAGCACTAAATAATATTTTAAAAAAATGAATGTTTTGATAAGTAATGGTAAAACGAGAGCTTTTTTTTAATCGTTTTTAGAAATTTATTTCAGCAATAAATAGTGCATGTATCACTTTTAAAATATCAAACAGTATGCATTATTTCGATGATACACAGTTCAAAAACATTTTTAAAAAAATCTTTGTTACAAAATTTAGATATGAGTCATCTTTTTCCAACTATCTTCAATATTCTGTCTTTTACTAACAATTATTAGTCCATATCTTTTCAATCGACTGTTATCTCCTCATCACTGAGGTCATCGACAATAATAAGCCTATTCTCATCATCGGAATCATCAAGATTGTTATTTGAAATCAGGTTCTCTTTATTATCATTCAGTTCACCATCATTCCGACTTGGACATTGATTGGTTGATGATCTAGGTGGTTGATGAACTGTTTCTTCGTCGCGTGGAGCTACACGGATAACATTTTTCAATCCTTTCTCTTGTTCTTGATTCTCGTGGACATCAGTAAGAGGTCTTGGATTTGTTGCTGGAAATGCAGATGGTTGCATCCAGTGGTCGAGGAATTCCTTTGGAACCGGCCTTGAAAGGGGATGGCAGCATCCACTCGGCCACATCATCCATGGTCTCCAATAAGATGGGTAAAATGGATGTGCAAATGTACCAGAACAATTACATGGATTAGTGCTTGAGGTCACATTGGGCGGTCCAAAGTTTTCCATTGATGAATGATATGGGTTTATATTCGTGGAATTGTAGTTTCGGCATTCTGAAAATTTTCGACAAACTAATAAATGAAAGTTTGATTATATTTACTGCAAGAAAAAACATGCATAAATAATAGATAGTAAAAATATTTACAAAAAGTACTTATTTTTTAAATAGTTACTAAATGTAAAATTTTGTTATCATTTTTATTATTTTAAGCCTTTTTGTGTGCACTGCATAAAAGTCTGGATCAAATTACGGAATAAAGTACTAACACTTTCACTGCATCATCCGTAAAATGCATTTTTACCGTAAAATATTGTAACGTGAGTTTTACAGTAATATTTATTTAATTAGAATGATTCGGTGATTTTGCGGTAATTATTACTGTAAAAATTACAGTATATCAGATTTTTAGTTTCGTAATTTGTGCGATAAAAATGGATTTTACGGTAAAAAGTACTGGCACTCAGAATACTGGTTCTTTTACCTCATTTTACCAATTACCTACTTTACACTGTGCTACAGTTGAAAATTTTTATTTTCTCTTTTAAATCTTATTTCTTTTACCCACTTTGAAATTCAATATAGGGAAAAGGTTATCTCACCGAAGATAAAATGAATAAGTACTTTCAATATCTCGCCCGCCAACTGTTTTATTTCTATAGGATAGGAATTAGAGGATTTATATGCGGTAAGAGCTTATAAATTAGTGAAATTAATTTATAAGCTTCTACCGGCAACGAAAGCGTGCAAATGGAAGTTCATCAAAGCATTTAAATTACGCATTTTATAACCCAATTTTCATCTAGAAATGTAAAGAAGACGTCTGGTTCTCAGAAAAATAAATTTATCTTAACATATATGGCTACATTCAAATTTTAATGGATAAAGAGTTGCAATGCCAGAAATTATTTCAGTGTATTATTTCATGTAAATTAAATGTGCAGCGAAAACAAAGGTTTAATTATAATTGTAATAGTTTAAAAAGTTCAGCTTATTTTTTGAAAAATAAAATAAGCTATTTATTTAAATTATTAATTATATGGTAATATTTCTAGTTACTTTTAATTATTAATTTTTGATAAAATCAAACATATAAAAATGAAATTAAACTTTTTTCTCTCAGTCTGCAGTTTAAAACATGTGTTCTATAATTATAAACACTCATAAAAAATTGCAGACAATTGTGTTTTTTTAAAAGAATTAAATATCGTTATTAAAAAAGTGAAAAATGTGAAAAAATCAGATTTTGAGATAAACTTGTTTAAAGTCTTAAAATCCTTAGTCTATCCACTGTTATCACCTTACACGAAAACTGCTATAACTTTGTAAATAATTGGAATCTAAACAAAAAAAGTATTTTTAAAAAGCTAAGAGTCCATGTTTGATCTGACAATCAAACAGGTTTTATTGTTTATCCACGTCCTTGCAGTTCACCTTCTTCAATAGTTATTCATTACACATTTTGTTTTTTCAGCGTTGAAATACTTTCATGTGGCATACTTTTTAACTTCGTATTTAAAAAAAAATATATAAGATTCTTAACTTCATTTTTTCCTAGGATTCTAAAAATATATATATTAGGAGCAGTGAATACGGAGCACCAATATACAAACTTACTGTGAATCTGTTTAGTACAGAAAGGATTGCAGCAACCTTCACGGCTAGGTAGATGACTTGTATTCGATTGCGGATAGAATTGAGAATCATACATCAAACCAGAATAGGGCAAAAATGCACAACCTCTAAAATTGGCCTTTTCCTCTTCTTTGTGATTTTCTGAAACCACTAAAAAACAAGCGTATTAATACATCTAATATTTAAATATTAATTAAGGAATTACAAGAAAAGCTCTTGAGTCTTTTATTGACAAATAGATGCATTGCTAATATCTGAAAGTTATATTCTTAATGCCAATTTAACAAGTATTAAAAGCTGTAGCTGTCCAGAGACTAGATCTCTCATTCGATTTTCTAGTTCAGGAATGGCTAACCTCTTGAGGACGAGTGCCACTTTCAGACAAAAAAAAATTTAATGCGTGCCATTTCCAACATACTAAAAAATATAAAAAGTGCAAATACATTTCAAAATCCATTAGCCGTCCATTGGTTGATAACGAGAAAAATATACATGGTGGAGTTGAAGATAGAAATTTTTAAGGAGTTAGGAGTCTGTTTTTAGAAGGCTCTATTATAGTCGAGTGAGGTGAGACGTTTTTGCAAATAATATGCTATTTCCATAACTAATGTTTACAAAAGTTGCTCACGATTGTTAGATCAAGTTTAGCCTGTCTTTAGCTAGCGCCTTCTATGCTTATTTGGAAAATGATGCAGGATTTCAATATGGATAAAAGCCACAATCAATTTTGAGAAAATAAAAAGCTTTCATGGTCTATTTTTTAATATTTAAAAACTTTCCCCAAATGCTGCATAATCTGGTTTTAAAAATGTTTGTAAAAAATGGGAATTAGGCATTTTGATAATTTTTATTTAGGAGGAAAAATGTCGTCAAATTGATAATTTTTAAAAATGTTTAATAATTTTTTAGAATATTTTAGTTATTTTTCTATTTCAAAGTCTAGAAAATTCTTCCCAACAAGATAGCATATACCAGGGGTTTCCAACTTACACGAGGCCGGGGGCCGCAATTAAAAACACCAGTCAAATGGCGGGCCGCAACTTTATCAAAATTTTATGTAGGACTCTTGTATGTTTGAAGGAACATTAAATATTACTGTCAGATTTTTACCAAGTTGTACAAAACAAAATTATTGAATTACAAATTGAAATAAGAATTAGATTGTTACCTGATAAATAAATTTTTTTGTACCGTTGGTATGTTAAATTTCACAGAAACGAAGAAATTAGGTTTTTTTTTTAACGAAGGAAAAGTATTTTAAACCCATACAGATTTTCTACAAAAATTGTCCGCAATAAAAGAACAACTAATATACTTTAGTTCGCGGGCCACAAAAAAAGGCTTCGCGGGCCGAATGTGGCCCGCTGGCCGCCAGTTGGCAACCACTGGCATATACAGTTCAAAATTGCTTCAAGTTTTACTTCAAGCGTAAGGCACTGATACTGTGGTGCTTTTATTTTACCTAGCAATAGAACCTTGATAAACCATGTTAATAAGAAAGCTGCATGTGTTTCTCTTCAAATGATATACAATGGTAAATTATATATTTTTAATTATTATTTATATACTTAAATATTTTATTATTAAATTATCTTTTAAGTCTTAAACGTCTAAAGCACGTTTATTTAGTTAACTTGCGAAGTTAATTAAAGAGGTAATGTAAATGAATTTAATATTTCATTTTAACAGTTTTTTCATTTCTTGAATATTCACTAATGAATCTTCTCTTAATAATGTATTTACATATGAGACAGTGAGAGCACGAGATATTGTTTGCAAGCCCACTGGTTCTGCACAATTCCAAAATTTTTCAAAATATCGATGCAATTTGTTTTCTTTCACTGTTAGATTACAATATAAAATGCCGTTTTATACTAAATACTTTTAATTCTAATCATACATAATGAGAAATATATCATTTGAAATAAATAATCGAAAAATAACATTTTCTTAATAGTTTTATTAGTACACTTCTATGATTTTGTCTATGATAAAGTCAGAGTTTGGTTTTCAGAAAAGATTCAATTCACATTTTAATTAGACACAGTTTTGACTACAATTGCTCTTTAAATCTTATAATTAAAGCATTTTATGATTTACTTAAATTTATTTAGCATTTAAACTAAGCATTTTGATACCCAGAACAGTATATAATATTTTATACAATTTTCTTCGAAGCGACAGCTATTATATTAATTAAATGCAATGTTTTCCTATGAATTACACATAAAGCTTTTTCCTCTAAAATACAATTTTTCTCTCTTTATAAAATTAGGCATAACCTCTACACTTTCTTCGGCGTTATAAATTACTAAAGATATTTTCTACATCAAGTTACCATTTTTATTTTGCAGAATTAGTTACGTTAAAAATGACTTCCTAATTCTTAGTAGGCTCAAATCAGAGAGATTTCATATTTGATTTATAGATAGTGTTTTATACTTTAATTTTTACCCACACAACATAAGTAATATGTTAAAAGTAATTTTCGAAATTTAGAATTCGTAAAATTTTCGGTATTGTCGAGGAAATAAATGCTAAGCAACGTCATTTACAATTTCATAATTAATGACTTTATAAATTCTTACGTTTTTAAATATAGTAGGAAAAAAATTTACCATTTTTATCTGCTTGTTCCGTTGCATTAAATATCAATGATTTTTTTGCCTATAATGAAAAAAGTAAAATCTTTGCGAAAAAGTATAAACAGTAAATTTAAGTAAGTTATGCAGCAAACATAAATAATATTGGTGCATATACATGTGTATTGGTCAATTCATACTTAGTTATACAGTCAAAAAAAATTTTTTACCAAACTAAAACTTTTTTACCTTATTATTACTTTTCATCCTTAAATATATGGATATTCATCAAACTTAACAATAATGCTATAATCACTAACGAAATTTTTTTTTTATTTACTTAATTTTTTATACCTAGATCAGAATTCACTTACAATTCCTACGATATTTTTATTTTATTTTAAGTATAGTTATTTTTTAAATCTATTTGTCCGTTAATTTCCTTATTATTAACATCCTAACACTTTAATCACGGAAATAGCGCGGCCTTTTCCTACCCTCTGCGCTACGAGTTCCATTTTCAGATCTAAAATAAAAAGAAAAGAAGATGAGGCATCGCGTCGCTAGCGCACTGAGACTTCCCATGGAAGACGATATATCTCGTCCTTAGCGATGAAATTGTTAAGAAAATGTGCTTCGATAAAATTATAATAATTAATATTTTATAAACAGTCGTAGAAAAAACAAAATAATGATAAATGAGAAGGGGTAGATGTACGGAGCTAACATGGGTGAAAAAGCATATAAAAAATAACTATTGCATTGTACTGAATAATTTCAAAGCCACATTACCGTTATTTACAATATTCAAATCCGAGCTATGTAGCTCAGGAGATGGAAAGCGTGTCTCAAAATGAGGATCCCAACGATGGCTGGTCGATACGAATTCTGCTTCCGGGTCGAATCAACCACACTTCTGACGGAAATATCCTCAGTAGCAGGCGGATCATGGGTTAGAATCCCCTTGTAGTCGGACTAACCGCGGGAAGTTTTTGTGATTTTTCACTTCATATTACGCAAGTACGGACCAGTTCCATCAAAAAGTCCTCCACGAAGGCTAACTTCCTCCACGAAGGCCGGAGTTCCTTTGTCTTCTGGATTAAATTCAAACTTAAAAGGGCATGGAGTTAAACATTGATAGTCGTAAACTTAGAATTGGGTCGGCTGTTCAACGTCGGGTTTGAAATAAAGTAAAAAAACACGATAGTGGGAAATCATTCATCTCTTCTATCGTTCAAAATGATAAAGGATAAATAATCACCTAAAATGTTGTGGAAGATATCGACAGATGGCATCATCATATGCACATATTAGCACATCTAAGCAATCATCATGTGCACATATTAGTAAGAACAAATCTATCAAATAATAACAACATAAAAACTTTTAAATATTTAAAGAAAATTGTTGTTTCTAATGCCACTTGCCAGTACCAGCAAGCCTGTTTGTTGAAACCTAGTGAATTTAAGGCAAAGGGTGTGTTTCTTGTTTTTCAGTGGCGCGCTCTATGGCCAAGAATATGACTTCAACTTCACATACACGTCAAAGTCCATTTATAGAGTGGACCCATTCATACATCCATTTATTCATCCACATATCATAATTTTGACCAGAAGCACAGAATGATCAATCTTCATTTCAGCTCACAGAGGTATGATTTGTTATGGAAACATGAAGGACTTTGCGACGCGGCAGATTTAACATGCACCAATCTCCATATTACGCAATCACCATATTGCTGCACTTGAAACACAAGCTTCGTAAAATACATAAGCGTCTACTTTAAAAACCAAACTGAAAATTTGATTGTTGCATAAAAATCCATTATACGCACATATTTTGTTATTAACATTATTCTGCATGTATTCTATTATTATATACTATTACGCGTGCTTACTATAAAATAAAATAAAATTTTGTATTAAGAGAAAGTAATTTAAATGAAAGTGAAAAAAATTCTCTAGACGCTTGCTCTTTCAGGTTTTCTTTCACAAAATTGATGAAATGTACGATGCTCCTGTATATAAAGTCATAGTATATGCTTATAAAAATATGATGTTTAACAAAGTATGAAACTTTAATTATTTTGCTTTACTTCTTTATTTAGTATTAGTTCATACGCCAAATATAAAAATCTTCTGCAGCGTCAACAAATCTGCAATTCGATACCACACTTGATGTTGTTAAATGCATCTGCATTTAACAACATTGCTGTGCATTCGGCTACATTAAGGTTTAAGTTTTCATGTTGTACAAGATAATTTTGAAAGGTGACTAAGCTGTTCGCCAAAAGTGGTTAGTGTGGAGAAACTGGAACTAGTAACGCCCCCTAGTGAGAAACTAGATAAAAAACTCAGAGACAGAGAGAGAGAGTGAGAGAGTGTGAACGAACGATAGAAAGCCTGCCATGCAGAGCTCCTTATTTTCTTCTTCATATATGTTTTGTTTGTGAATGTGTTGAGTGCTAACTATAATAATGTTGTTTAAAATAAAATAAAAGTTAGCTAGCCGTTGGTTTTAATTCCCCCCTAAGCACCACACGTCACACTAGTAATAATAATTCTTGGTCCTGGTAATAATATTTCATGGTGAATGCTATATGTGCATTTTTTAATTTATTAAACGCGTTTAGTCTTCATCTGAGACTCATTTTTCTCTGATGATGCTACATAATTTAATTGATTTCATGAGCTTGACAGTAAATACCCAGACGCTTTAACAAAACAAAGCTATATTTTTCCCGCATAAGTATGTTTTTGAAAACTTAATTTAAGTCGCAAACTTACTTTAACTGCGTTCGTAACTGCGTTTTCAGAAATCTTTTTTCTCGAACTCTTCTGTTCTTTGTTCTTTCTCGCTAAGAAAGGACTATAACTATAATCTGAAACAGAACGAATTTGGAGAAATACAATAAAAAGTAAACAAAAAGCAAATTTTGCAGAATTTTTTATTATCAGTATTCCATAATAAGGACAACAAAATGATACTAAAATTATGATCAGTTGTGCAAAGAGTTTTGCGTTTTCTCAAGAATGAACACATTTAAATGCTTCAATCATTAGTTCACAAGTTTATTCGGAAAATATCTTAAAAATGACAAAAACATTACGTTTTAATGTTGCTATCAAATTGACGAAAAATCGGTTTCTGGTCAAAGAGGCATACCAAAAGCTAAACATAATCGGTGCATTTAGTTCATGATTCTTTTCAGAATTACTTGGCTTTATAATACCATTTACGATAATTTTTCATAGATTGACATTTTGAGTGCAAATCTATGATTCAACTAATCTATTGCTTTTATTGTTTTTGAGAGAATACGTCAGCCTACATAAAAAATGTATAACCGTTTGCTCTGAGGGAAAAAAATGTGGTCAAAACTACTAGAATATGGTCAAATTTGCCGTTTTTTTGGTTCTATGGGAACACAAGCACCGAAGCCTTTGGGTAATGACTTTAGGTAAAATTTGCAATAAAATATGGCTTTATTGCTATGCTATTTGGGAATAAATGTTGGAAAATGTAATAATTTTATCAAAATACCTAAGAGAACGACATAAAAATCATTTAGTCGACTATATTTATTTTTCAGGTTAAATTTTTACAAAATATGTATTTAAAAGAACTGTAATATTGAAAACCACAATTACCATAAAAACGGGAAAATTACCAAAATTAATGGCTTAAATTATTTTGGTTTTACTACAAGAATTATGGTTATTTTTTACCGGAAGTGCCATCCCCATGCAAGCGCGGTAATTATACCAGAAAAGTTTCTTTATGCACTATAGTACATTCATAACATTTAATATCGCATACATCTACTCTAGTTTGATGTTTTCTTTAATATAAAGTTTGCAAAGTTCGGGTTCTTCCCAGAATCTTTTCAAAATGGTAAAGCTATAGCTATTAAGCAAATACCTTTATCTTTTCTGAGGAATAAATTGCGATGCTAAAACTAAAACCAAATTTATGCAACGTAATCGATTTAGTGTCTGTAAGAAGAGTGAGTGTATTCTTATACATCATTTCCATAAATATTAACATCGCAAAATATTGAAAAAGTATTACCTTTGTGTCTAAAAAATGTCATCATCACATTCATCATTAACAACACTTGTGTGGAAACAACAAAAACTTTTTTTTTGTTCTTCATTCAGTGAAATAAGCCTTATAATAATGCTTATTCTACTGCTTCACTACTCTTAATTTTTTATATGAATGTGTTCTTGTTAAGTATCACTTTTATAACTTTGTGATAAATTGTAAACTTTGCAATTGATTATTCTGAAAATGCTGCAAAACGTCAATGCTGTATTATCTGAGTGTATAAGAATTTGCAAAAATGGGAATTAGTAATTTATTTTGTACTTTTTATCTGGGAAGAAAAATGTCACCAAATTGGCAATTTTTGAAGAAGTTTAATAATTTTTTTGATTACTTTAGTTATTTGTCTGTTTTAAAGTCTAGAGCAGCAAAATGGCATAGAGATTTTAAAATTGCTTCAAGTTTTGCTTCAAGCGTAAAGCACTTAAACTGTGGCTTTGTCATTTTCCGAAGAAATAGAACCTCGAAAAACCATGCTAATACAAAGTATGCATGAATTTCTTTAGAAATAATATACAATGGTAAATCATACATTTACAAATTTTATTATTAAATTATCTTTTAATTCATAAACCCTAAAAAGGTTTATTATAAGGGTTAGGAAATAACCCTTATAACAACAATACTTATTTTGCGCCCTCAATATTCTTACTTTTTGATAAGAATATGCTCCTGGTAAATATTACTTTTGCAATTGTTTATTTTTCCGCGTAACTCGTTTCATTTGCAAGATTGGAAATCTAGTTACAAATTAAACAGTTTAAAGCATTAAAGTCATTTTCAATTAACCTATGGCATTTTACAATCAAAATAGCGCGTATTAAATAAAATATACATTAAATACAAGTTCTGCAATAAAATACCTGGAAAGGTTTCCTTGTGAAATTTCTCTAACGCTTTTGCTTGTTGATAATATTTTGTCATTTCTTCGCTCGGTAAATCTTTCCACATTTTGCCTAAACGGGCACTCACTGTCTTGTTAGACATGCCAGCATTTTCGCCTTGAATTTGGCGTCTCTTTTCTTTAGCGAAAAGCATAAAAGCATTTGGTGGACGGCGAATTTTCTTAGATTTTTGTTTCAAAATCATATCTTTCAACTCATGTGATAAGGAATCCGTATTACTAGTTGTTAGATTGCCATTTTTTAGTAAACTGGTTGAAGTTTTAATATCCTGCAACATAAAAGTTTCATTCAATTTGAGCCAAACTTCATGGAGCCAAAAACTAGGAAAATGAAAATTACGCTAAAATGTTTACGCGGAGAAGTGATTTTTTAAGCAGTTAAATTTTAATATTTTTGTAATTTAAAATAACATATCCAAGTCAAATAAATAGATTGTTAAAAATTTTGCTTATATGTTAATGTTTTGAAAAAAAATTCTATTTATGTTTTCTATAACCTGTACAAAACCTGCAAAAAAATTTGTAAGAAACCAGTAAAATAAGTTTTTAAATTTTATACAACTTACAAACTATTGTTGTGAAAATTGCAAGTCCCGCAAAAATTAAGCCTTATTTTGTAAAATAATAATAACAATAACAAAAGCAATTGATCTGATCACTGCACACATTGACTAATTTCATAATGCAAAAAGTAAAAAATGAAAATATACATTATTTCTCAAATTTCTTTTATGATTTAAATCTCTTTATAAAATTTTTTTCCTTCAACGATGTAACTCTTTATAATTTGTGAAATTTGTTCTTTGTTTGTGCAAAAAAAAAAAAAAAAAAACTATTACTAATGTTAGATATTGGACACTTCAACTTAATATATTTCAAAAAGTAGAGTTAATCGAGTTGTGCAGTGAATGGCTTAAATGAAAGGTAAAAAAGAGACACAATTTTTGAGAGAACTATTTTATAGGGAATTTTTGAAACAGTTCTTTAATTTTTAATTTCGAGTTTCTATTTTGTAACGCTGTTAACATATCTGTTAGTTAAAATCAGCATCTAACGTAACTGGGACAAAGTGGCCAAGCTTCGTCACCAGGAGATTTGTCATTAGGTTGTTAATTTATTTGAAAAAAATTTAAATATCGTATCTTCGTCATTAGGCGATTTGTTGTCATTTCTTCGTCACTGTGCAGTCCATAGCGTTTTAATAAACGGCTAGTTTATCTAAATAAATTTGTTTTAGAAAATATAAACTCTTTGGTAGTTGCTGTTAGCAAGTTCAAGATTCCGTCCAGTTGTTTATTAGTTTATTAAGAATTCACGTTGAAAATAGAAACTTTTCCATTGAGAAATTCTCTTTATTCACTTGCTTGAATGGAAATTTATAGCATTGAATGGAATTTATATTAAATGGCTTTACGTAATTAGATGAAATAAAGCATAGTTTTAATAGTTTCTTCCATCAAAATAAAGATTAACTATATTCAATATAATTTGGCATAACTCATAGCCCAAATTTACAACAATCATACGATTTCTATTTCGAAACGGGCCGTAAAAAACAGCTTCAATATCTATAATAAAACTACTCGGAGTTACTGTAGTTTTAATAGGTACTAAATATACTAACATAATACTTTGTACCTATATTAGCATATTTAATACTTATTAAAACTGGAGCAATCACCATAATTCAGATGTGAAAAGTTTAAAGCCTTAAGAACATTCCAGATTCGGCTACTTACCTTTTGAGTAGCATTTTTTACATTTGTCGTGTTTTTCCTTTGTTTACATTCTGCTATATTTGAATCAAGAACATTCAATAACTGGTGTTCTTTCTCTCTCTTGAACTCAGGTTTTGAATAATTTCGGAGTGGGCCCTTTTCAATATCTCGAGTATTATGGTGAATGTCTTCTTTCACATTCGCCGCAACTTTGTTCTTTTTGTACCTCATCTTCTTGGCACACGGTGCTGCATTAATATATATATATATATATATAAACACAAATAATAATAATAAAATAATATAAAATCGAAAACTATTACTGGGAAAAAACCAAAAGTCTTCCTCAGGACACATCTTTTGGTATAATTTAATGCGATATTTCTGAATAAAGAATAATTAGCCTAAGATAGAATTGTTTAGAATATATATCTATATATATATA